ATATATGAATCATGTATATATCACATAAAATACTATGTATATAATGGTGACAAGCTAGACCCCAAGTGTCATCTGTCTGCTGTCTCTGTCTCTGTTGCTCGTCAGATGAGACATGTCCTTTTATGCGGCTGCTCCCTCCGAGGACGGCTGCTTACTTCTATCGGAGAAGTATTCAAAGCGAAGGTAATGTAGACACCTGCGTTGGCTCAAGCAGGAACCTGGTACAGGAGTGCAGCTGCTGGGGTCAGAGGTGTGAAGCATACCATGTGGCCTTGGAGGTTGTTATCAACATCACTTGGCCACACACAAAGGCTCATCCTTGCGCCATTTGCAACAGCTGGAATAGGGTTAAAGTTTCAGCCAGGCATCTTCAGACATTTCCTGGAGATCCCATAGTCACTAAGGATGTCATTTACTAGAGTAGCAGTGAGTGCGCTTGAAGTGTAACTTGGTGTGGAGGGTTACCTCATTTTCAGAGTTTTAAAAATGTACCAATCAGTAAAAGGGAGGATGATGATATACTTAGTATTTGTTAGAATAGCGAGTTCTGTACAATACCATATTATTGCAGGGGAAAAAGTTAATAGGATATGAATTAAAAATCTTCGGGCTAAATAGGCAAGGACTTATGCTTTGGACGCATAGAGGGCAGCTGTGCCAGAATTTAATTCTAACCATGCACGTCTCGGGCGCTTCAATCGTAACCATGATGGGTCACAGATTCCATCGTTTACAGTCAAAAGGCGGGCTTGAAATAAACTTGCAGAGGCATCGGGGCCTAAAATTCTAACCATATACATATTAATGGTAACCATCATTTGAGCAAAATGTAACTTCTTGGAGCGGCAGGATGCAAGACTCCTTCATTTACAGCCATGAGTCAGGCTAAAAATAAATGTGTAAGTACTCATGCTTTGGATACATAGAAGCAGCTGGGCCTGGACTTATTTCGAACCAATGTGCCCGTAACTCGAGTGCTTTCAATTCTTTCAAACCTCAACAAATCTATCGAGAGATCGTTTCCCATTTCAGGGCACTGCTTGAGGGGCAAACTAGCTCTTTTCTTAGAATAAAGGCGTGCAAGACCCTATCGAAATTTACGTCTCTACCTCATCTTCCAGCTACATAAACTTATATATCCAGTCTACGGACATCAATATAAAGCTGTTTAATTATGAACTGTCACGGGTGAATATGATATATAAATTGTCACACTGGGCACTGCTCAACCCCCTCCAAAATATCAGTCTGGTCTTCATTAGAGACAATTTGGTTCTTAAGAGAAATCTACACAGTATCTCTTCCGAACTCAGAAGGACCTATAATCCTTGTGTACAAATGCATCAGTCTTCATATTCCGTTATTCATACCATATTTCCTACTGCCTTTATACATCCAATTTATCAGTTAGTTCTATGAAGCAAAATATCCCATAGCCATCTCTTTGAACCCACACCCGCAACTATAGCTCATTTAGTGAGGCTCTCTACCATCCCACACCCTCTTTCTCTCTCCTCTCCCTCTCTCTCTCTCTCTGTCTCCCTACCCTACCCTTTCGCATTCATATACACTCAGGATACTGTAATCAGCTGTACAAGATATTATGTTTTTCGTTAAAGGAATCAAATATCAAATATCGAATCAAATATTTGTTTTATTGTTGTACCTCCACAAATCCATGCAATTATGCTCAGAATTAGTACGACGAAGAAACAGAAGTTAAGGAAATATCTCTTCTGTCTAGTATAATCCTAATGTAAAATAGTGTTCATGGGAAATTGGGCTCAGATTTGGGCATCTAATCATAACCATAAACTTGTGAAGAGGGAGGCATCTCATCACCTCCTGCCGGCGTCAATCATGAACTTGGGAAGACCCAGAAGAGAGTTGATGAGCTCCGAGTTCCTCTTGTGGGGTCCCACGACCACCCCGGTGTGAGCGCCTTTCGCTGCCTGCAGAATCTCTATTGCTAGTTCTGTTGCAGCCTGAGGAAGCAGATGGTATATGGAAGACTGTGATAAGCAGAATAGTTTATAATAAGCAGAATAAGAAGCAACATTATTACCATCAGCAACTAATGAGAGCAAAACAAGAGAAGAAAATTTGGATGATGTCAAATGAACTCCCATAAAGATTGATTCAACAAAATTATGTGATAATTTCTATACGGTCGGTCGCAGTGAAAGGAAAAAGATAATATGAATAGCATTTCCCATGACTAGAAGTCAATATCTACGTTCGCAAAGCAACTTTAGAACTGTGATATTATGCACCTGACACTTTGAAGCTGAAGGTTCCCTCTGTGCTTCTGTCACCACGACGGCCGTCACCGCCAACACCACAAACAACAGCATTGCAAAACGACACATCCTGTGAGGACATATCAATCATTTGGTTAATACTGAGCCTCAGAGACAAAACTCCTAAACTTTACAAACTATTTAAATGCAATTATTTTCATACAATCCCATTTAAAAAATAAAAAGGCTGACATTTCCTACAAAACATTGAAACAGAAGACGATTAGTGGAAAAAACTTACTTGCAGAGAGCGATGAGGACACGAGAAGAAGAATGCTATGCCACCTGGAGCACCTGGCCCTTTTATGTGGCTCCGAAGGGCGCCCACGCGATCCGCCTCGGGCTGCCCGCGCGACTCGGGCTGTAGCCACGCGGGCGCCAGGGAAGGAAGGCTTTGGTGCAGACACTCGCATGCACTCATGCATTAACGGTATATGCTGAATATTCTATGTATATGTGTATATATAATTTGTATATATATGTACAATATATATGCACAATATATCTATATATAATACATATTTATACTATATATATATACGCACAATATCTATATATTACACATTATATATACTATATACATATACATACACATGCACATTCGCGCACCACACATATATGTGTAATTATATATGTATATATATATATGTATATGTATATATATATGTATGTATGTATGTATATACAAGTATATACACGCGCTCATACATATTTGTGAGTGCGTATGTATATACATATATATAAAACACATATAAACGTACATAAACACATCATATATACATATATACAATACACACATATATATATATATATATATATATATATATATATATATATATATATATGTATGTATGTATATATAATTTATGTATAAATAATATATATATATATAAATACACATATGTATATATACAAATGTATGTATTCTTTTTTATGTTTAACGAAAATGCGCTAAAAGAACCCGCCGTTTTGCGGCAAAATCAAGTAGCAGTATTTCTGCCATTCTCTAAACATCAGATGATATAAAAATATATATAGATAAATACATTGAACCACACAATATCATAAGCGGATGGATATTAGATTACAGTCGCAGTGTGTAGGATCAAAGTCTGGTGATTATAAGATACTTTCTTGTTTATTCCATTGCATAAAACAATATACAAGAAATACATTTCCAATCCAGTAATGTAACATTCAGCAACATAAGATGCACCCGCATCTCTTTATAGAAAATGTATTAGATGTATAACATGAAAAAGCGACACTGAACCTGTACATTTGCTTTATCTAAAAGGTATAAGATTATTCGTAGTAGTTGTGTTGCAGGGCTGAAGGTTGAAAGTCACTATGGGACTGTGGCTCTGCCTTTCATGATGCCCAACTAAAAGACCCAGCTGAAGTGACATCAGATGGAATTTCCGTCGCGATGGCGTTTGCTCTGCCACATCGTATCAGTTCATACCAGGATGGTTTCAGCAATTTTCATGCTTAATCTATTTGAACATGGAAAAATAACTCAGCATTGTTTTAAACACTCCTTTTTTATCAAACGATCTGTAGTCATACAAAATAACGAAATTACTTCGGAAATTAAAAAATCCGATGTGACGTCACCATTCATTGGTTGTGATTTGTTTGGTCTTGGCTTGTGGGATTATTGCTGAAGGTAGATGTAAGTCCTCAAGAGAACCCCATCTTTCTGGGTGCAGGGGATAAGTGCTGTCTCTGTCTCTGTTACTTGTCAGACGAGATGTGTCCTTTTATGCAGTTGCTCCCTTCAAAGGTGTGTGCTAACTTCTGCTGCAGAAGTGACAAAAGTGAGAGAAGTGCGGAAGATAATATATATATATACTTGTCAGTAATCTTTTTAAGATGCCAGAAGAATGAGAGCATAAGAACAATTTGTCAGAAGGGTTACCTGAGGAGGTTTTAATTCCATATCTCCGGGTTAAATTGGCAAGTACTTATGCCTCAGACAATCATAACCGTCCTGTGTGCAAAGTGTGCTTCTTGTTGCGGCGGGGCACAAGGCCTGGAATTAATTCTAATCGTTGTGCACGTAGCTCGACAGCTTTCAATTGTATCCATTGTGTGAACAATGGATACAATTGGAGCAAAGTTTATCTAACATGTTGGGGCGGCGTGGCGCTGAATTCCTCCCTATATGGCCGTTAGCCAGGCTTGAATTAAATTTTGGCATGATAATAATTATGTAAGCTTATATAAAGCATGGTGTCTGCAGTGCAATCGCATTATTTGCAACAGAATTGATTCCATCAGTTAGTTACATTTTACATATCAACCAGAACAACAGGACGCATATTCTCCTTTGTTTAAGACCGTGAGCCGGACTTCAAAATAAATTCAGCGTATTGCTATGTAAACTCATTCGAGACAAAGTGTCTGCAGTGTAATGTCATTTTTTGTATGAGAATGGACTACCATCTCTTAGTTACATGTTACAATCCACTGGAACCTTAAGATTTAAGAAGCATGAATTCCAACATTACTGAGGACAAGACATCGAATTTCGAAATGTCATGAAAGTGGGTTGGGTTCAGTCGTAAATTAAAGGGGCGGCGCAGTACATTTCGTGTTCCTTTAGTAAATTCCGTTTAGAGCGGTTAAGTAGGTGGGCTAAGAAATAGAGCATGTAATCGACATGTGAATGTGAATAATCGATCATTAACTGCGCAGAAGCATTGGGAAATACAGATATAAGCACAGGTGTTGTGAAAGATGAAACAGTATGTACATATTCACAGAGGAAATAGTAACAAACCACTTAGTAATGGTACAATATGCAAGAGAATACGTATGAAAATCGCAACAGTAGGTATGAATAATATAACAGAATAAACTGAACATATCAATAATTAAATAACGTCAAAAGCAAACATTATTTTAGCAATTAAGGAATGGTTAGGGGCTGGCTAGCGAGGTGTGAGGTAAGGTCTCTTGTGTCTCAGCTCGGTGTGTGATTGTTCGTTGCGTTGAAAAACAATGATTGACAGCGAGAAACTGTAATATAGAGTACGTAGCGTGTTTGTTGAAAAGACAGTAACTCGTATGTAAAGTGTGGGTGGGTGCAGGGAAGGCAAAAGTTAATCTGGCGCTAATGGGCATACTGATTTGAATAGTGGCAAGGAAATACTGGTGGTTGCAGGTAGAACTGCGACTTCATGGCTGTGCTGACGAGGGTTCTCAAAGACTTGGCAAGAAAGGTGAGCTGGATTGATGAGTGTGGTTACGTAGTGTGGATTTGTCTTTAGCGACTTCGTCAGGAGGGTAGCACTAGCGAGAGTGATCAGCGCGAAGTAGTAAGGCAGAAATGGTGCAAGCAGGTGTGAATAAGTTGTCAGTGTTGATGTACTGACATCAGCATACTGGGGTCAAAATCAAGGTGGACAGAAAGTGGCTAATTTACCGCATCCCACAGCTTGGTATACTTGTCCCTCTACAAACATGTGCCATATGTTTACTTGGATATGTGGACTGAATTTGACTTTTCACGATGCAGTGGTAGTGTGGTGTCTCCGAGTGCAAGAGTTTGCCTAATCCTGAAGTAAAAAAGAACACTCACTACAGAAGACAATGTTATAATCCTTTCTAGGAAGTTTCTGACATAAAACAAGATCATCATCAGTCCGGTATTTAGTGAATCAATCAATACATATCAGTCTGCCACTGGATCTATGGCTTTGAGTTATCCTCTTATGGATTACCGAGTTCATTTCACGGGAGGAGCTCTCAAAAGCCTATGGCAAGTGAGCAGTAACTTCGTTGGTTAAGACAGCAGGCAAGCAAAAGCTGAGATACTGTGATGCAAACCATGCCTCGACAGATTTTACAAGGCTGAAAGGTAATATATATATATATATATATATATATATATATATATATATATATAGTGTGTGTGTGTGTGTGGGTGTATGTTATATATAATATATATATATATATATATATATATATATATATATATATATATATTATATGAGTTATATATATACATATATATACATATGTTTATATGTATTATATATATATATGTTAATATATACACAAACATATATAGATAGATATAAATAGATACAGACATACATATACATATGTGTGTTTATGTATATGCATATGTATATAGTATACATAATGTATTATATAGATATTGTGTATATATAGTATAATTATATAGTATAGATTTATAGATATATTGTGCATATGTATAGTACATACATACATATATACATATAATATATATATATATATATATATATATATATTATATATATATATATATATATATATAGAATGTTCTGCATATACCATTAATGCGTGTGTCTTCTTTCCCTGGCGCCCGTGCGGACACAGCCCGAGTCGCGCGGGCGGTCANATAACTAATACTAGCACGTTATATTTACGTATATGTCATAATATTATATAATCTATACTATACTATTATATATATATTATTCTATTATATTATTATATTATGTGTTGTGTCGTGGTGTGTGTGTGTGTGTTGTGTGTGTGGGTGTGGTGTGTGTGTGTGTATATATATTCTTTATATCGTATAGTATATATATATATATTTATATTTTATAATATATATATATTTATGTATATACGTTTATATTATAGATGTGTAGTGTATACTTTATATATATTTACTTATTATATATATATATCTATTATATATATATGTATATATATTCTCATTCTCTCTCCTCTTCTCTTCCTCCTCTCTCTCTCTCTCTCCTCTTCCCTCTGCTCTCCGTCGGCTTCACCATTCTTCAGCTCTCGCCATTGGTTCTATTCTCTTCTCTCTTCTCTCTCTTCTCATCTTCCTTCATCTCTTCGCAGCTTCATCTTCTCAACTCCCTCTCTCCTCTCTCTCAACCTCTCTCTCTATTCTTCTCTACTATATTATATATTCATCTATATATATTTCTATATTATATATTTCATCCTATATTATTATACTGCTTGTGTGTGTGGGGTGTGTGTGGTATCTGTGTGCTCGGTGTGTAGCTGTGTGGTGTGTGTGTATATATTATTATATTTATACT